TTAATTGGGATATGTGTAGAAAGGGACATTTACGTTTATAGGGGGAGGGGCAAGGTGGGAAAGGGAATTGAAATTTTTGTGTTAGTTTTTCTTAGAGGAAGGGGAATAAGATGGATATATATAAATTTAAAAAAAAAAATAATTTTTTAAAATAAGAAGAAAAAAAAAGAACTCGAAATAAAATTGTTGAAGTTTATCGTTAAATTGATTTTATTTTAATTAAATGGATGTTAAGATTATGTTATTTAAAAAAAATTAAAAATATAAAAATAAATAAACAATTAGAAATTAACATTGACGTAAATGGTGGTAAGTAAAAATGGTGGATAAAAATATACTTAAAATGAAGCAAAATTTTTCATGGAAGAAGGTAATGTTATCAGTGAAACAAAAAAAAGGGGGCACGGAAATATCCGATATGAGAAGGGAACTCATTTTTTTCTTTTTTGAGACTCTGAAGAATTATCGATTGAGAAAAGATAAATATAATTTGAATTATTTGAGAGATTAGTGTAGTCATCTAGATATGTTTTCGCAAATAATTCGGAGAATTAATCAGTTGACTATCGCTTTGGTTGAAGATAGACTATGGTCATCTGTAAAGGGCTTGTAACCATTCGGTTTTATAATGTTTATGCCGAATAATTAAATCGAATAAATAGAATTAAGAATACGAATGATCGATATAGTCCGGAAATCCCGAATATTTAATAAATATTGCAATATATCGGTAGAAATAATTTATTTTATAAAATAAATTTTTAACAAAAGAAGATAATTGTATTATATAATATTGTAAAAAAAAATAATGAAAAATGTTGGATTAAAAACTTTCATGACTCAAGGTAAATATAATAAATGCAATAAATATTTGACAGTTTGCAAAGTAAAAAACCAGCATGATTGACGAAACCCTATACTCAAGAAAGATATTAAAAATTTACAAATTATCATGAAGAAAGAGGAGCATATCTACCTTTTCAGGTTGAAGATTACTTCTTCTTTCTTCAAGAATTCTCGTAGTGGAAAAATTCCGCTCACAGCTTGCACTTGAAACAGGAATTGCCAATTTTACTAAAATTGGAAATTCGCTTTGATGATCCGCCCACCACTCTAACAAATTATCCACCTTAAATGTTTCATCTATTTTTTTATTTATGTAATTATAATATTCATCATCGGGTATTGACATATTAACAGAATTACCATCGCCCCATTTGTCATAAAACGATTCAGTTTGTTTAACAACAGTCGTTATTTGACTGGTCGATGGTATTTCATTTACTTCCTGAGCCTCTTGTAATTTAATATAATCTTTTATATAGTTTTCCGTCATCTTGCGATCTGTCCCTGACTATATACGTAATTGCTTGAATTTGGGACAGAGAAAAAGAGAAATAAAACTTGTGTAAAACAAATTTTTCAATTAAAAAATGCTTTATATTAAGTAAAATCATTTTTATTTCTCCTTTTTCGCTTTGAAGGTTATTACAAACTTCAAGAAATGATATTCCTTTATTTGATTGTTTTGGTAAAATATATTCTAAAAATTTAGATATGAATTATAAAAAAATATATTAATATTTTGAATAAATTTGCAGAAAATTAATAATTAGATCGATCTGTGGGTGTTAGGTAGTGTTAACCATCACCCAATATTATATTAATTATAACTATAATATAATATAATTTTATAACCATTAACTCATAATGTAAAAATTTTTATAAAAAATATTAAGGCCCACCCGGCCCGGTTTTAACAATCTTAGGCCCGGCCCGGCCCGAATATGTTTAAAAAAATTGTTTTTAGGCCCGGCCCGGGTATATTTAAAAAATTTAAAATACGGCCCCGCCGGGTTTAGGGCCGGGCTGCAGGTCTCTGATATATATATATCCAAATTGTAATGAAATAATTTGATATGCAAAATATACTTATAAAAAAATTTTTGTCTCCCAATGAGAAATAAAAATTAAGTGAAAATTAAAAAATAAATTATTTTAAAAAAAAACAAAAAAGAATAATAAAAAATGAGAAGAAATAAAATTAAGAAAAGATTAAGAAAAATAAAGATTCAAAATAACTTAAAGAGATTTCAAAAGTTAGAAATAAAATAAGAAAAAATTAAAAATTTAAGAAAAATTGACAAGAAAAAAAATTATAAAAAAATAACCATTTTCCTTTTTTATAACACTTTTCTTTTCTTTTTGGGACTTTTCATTTTTTGATTGATATTTTTCCTTTTTTGAGATAGATGATTTATATTATTTTCAAAGCGAAAAACTAAACAGTTATAAATTGGAAATCGAATGATTTATTTCCAACATTTTCCTAATCTTCTCTTTCTTCAGAAACAATTACATAAAACGTTTAGATTCTCCGGGTTTCGATAAAAGAACACAATTTTATAGAGAATCTTAAAAAATGAGAATCCCTTTTATTATTTACACGAATTAAAAAAAATTACTTAGCAAATCATCTATGATTTTTAAAAATAATTGAGAAAATCAGTAAGGTAAGTTTAAACTTGTTTTAATGCGGAATTTTTTTAAAATATTTCAGAATATTTTTAAAATTTACTCTTAATCGCATTTTTTGTCATTTATGTATAGGGGGGGGGGGGGGTATTTATTGGAGTAAAAAAACTGAGCCTAAATTCCCTCTCCATACAGCCATGAGTGAGAGAGACCATTTTTGGTCATATCAGATAAATCTCACATGCTTACCTGATATAGAATAATTGACAAAAGATCCTTCAAACCCTTTCGCGCCCGAAAATTTCCCGTGAACAAAAAATTTTTTTTCTTAAAACTGAGTTAAACAAAACAGAAATAACACATTTTCAACGTTTTTTTATTTAAAAAAGGGTATATATATATAGAATTATGAAATGTTACCAATTGTCATCATTGGGATATTCATATGTAAAGAAATATACAATTAGAATTATGAAATGTTACCAATTGTCATCATTGGGATATTCATATGTAAAGAAATATACAATTAGAATTATGAAATGTTACCAATTGTCATCATTGGGATATTCATATGTAAAGAAATATACAATTAGAATTATGAAATGTTACCAATTGTCATCATTGGGATATTCATATGTAAATAAATATACAATTTATTTTGAATGATAAGAAATAAAACAAATGCGATTTTTATTTAAACATAAAGATATTTTACATTTTATACATTCAAATCTTGAATAACCATTTTTGCAGTTCTTGCATCTTTGTCTGCTAGCCGCCGATGACTGTTTTATCTAATCTAATCTCTGTGATTGGATGAAAACTATTCAATTTCCTTCTTTTTTCAATCTTCAAAGTAGGTACCTTTTTTTCACCATTTACCTTTCCAACCATCATCAATCCTTTAGCTATCCGAGCTTTAAATACTAAAAGAGATACATGTTTACTATTTATATGGCATCTATAGAGCAACCATGAATTTGCTACAACAGGAATCTAATAAATGAAAGAAAACTCGCATATAAAAATGCTTCCATTGTCAGTTCTGTAGAGTTCAATTAACATATCATGGAGATCTACCCCGCCCATACCACCGTTATAGTCTTGAATTATGGCTGGAATTTCAACATTGGAAAAACTTATCAGATACCGACCATTTTGTTCTTGATATAGGATTTATTCCCATAAATGATGATATGGTGATAATCGATTTGTTATCAAACCATTTGCAAATTATAATATTATTATTAGAATCTTATAATCAAGGGACCCTCTTCCTTTTTTCTTTAGGATTCTATCATCATACAGGTGGCATCCCGAAAATCGATTAGATATAAGGGTCCCCGACACGATAAAGCCATTATCTTTGAGAGCAACTGCTAAATTATACGAAGAAAATAAGTTATCCATGTAAATTTTATGGTTTTTATGTGGGGGAACAGTTTCTAATAGTTGTATAACGATATTTCCGCTAATTCCCTTCGAAGTTTTTTTTATATTTGTGGATTTTCCTAAATATATTTCGAAATCACATAGCATTCCAGATGATCCACATAAAGCGAAAATTGTAATTCCCCATTTATGCGGTTTTGAGCTAATATTGTTTTAATCCATCTCCCTCTGGTATATTTATATGTTGAGGTCATCTAAAAATTATTTATAAAAATTTTAAAAATAGTATAATAAAAAAAAATTCCCACTTTCTTAACCTTTTGCAAATATTATATTGGCTTTCTAAATGGAAAATAACCTATATTCAATTTTTACTATATCATATTTTTAATATTTAATTTAAAAAAATTATAGAAAAAATTACATTATAAAATCCCAATGTTACCAATTTAGATTTCCTTCAAAAAATCATATAAATAATAGTTATTGTTAAATTTTCTTTTACTAAATATGAAATACTAGTAAAAATCTATTATAAAAACATTATATACCTTTGATTTATATATATTTATATAGAATGGTTATCGATGTAAAAGTGTAAAAATTTTGGCGCGTAAAATACCTAACCTTGAACTTGTATTTTGATATAATAAAATTATGATTTTGACAGGTTAATGATAAAACATGTAATAATAAATATTGTTTTGTAAATTCATGCGTCTAAATAGCAAACATGAGTTTTTTAAATATAAAAATTTTGATGACAAATGATCTCACTGGGCGCGAAAGGGTTCGTTGCTTTTATGATTAAAGGAACTCCTAAGGGTGAATTATTCTAATATATTGCTTTTATTTTAATAAATTTTTTCACAATATATTTATATCTTGTTAACGCGCTCAATAACTTCGCGCAAACACATTCATGGTAAAAAGTTCGCCATAAAGGGTTCGCGATTTTATCTTTGCTATAAATGCTTCGCCGAATTGGATTCGTGATAAAATTTCGCAAAAAAGTCTTTATCTATAAAAGTCTCGCTGATTCAGATACGAATATATATAGCTAACTGAGTAGATGTTTCAATCATAATGCTCACTTTAAGTTTTATTTTTCAAATTGGATATTTAAAATAAAGAGCCATGATGACAACTTTCATTTTTATTGCTCGCACAGTTATATCCGCAGGTTTTCAGGCTACTTATGTGTACACTCCGGAAGTAAAATTTATTTAAATTTTCCTATTTTATAAGTGTTTTTCAATTTAAACATGAGTTAGATATATTATTCACAAAATTCAAATATTTTTTTGAAATTGAAATTTAAGACCACTAAAGATTCTTATAATGTTATGACCGCTTTATTTAGGTATATCCCACGACTATAAGGGCATTGGGCATAGGTACTTGCAGCATGATGGCTCGTGTAGGTGCTATTCTTACTCCTTTTGTAGCTCAGGTAACCTTTATCAAAATAATTCGTTAATAAAATTATATTTAATTATCAGAAATACATAAAAATATGTCATGCTGTGTGAAAGAAATATAGTTTGAGATATATTTGAAGATTACTTCTGTAATATAAGGTGTCTACTATAAATGAAAAGGGGGGGGGGCTAATTTGCGATAAAATTTTTTTTGACGGTGGTTTAAATCTGGACGTGTTGCCTCGAAATTATACATACTATTAGGGTTATAAAAGTATAACACCCATAGGAATTAGACAAATGAGTTGATTATACCCAGAGTTAGGAACCGTTTTTAGTTCTTGACCAAATTCTGATAACGTATTTTTATGTCGTAAGATCATATCAAAAATATATTCATTTTTTTTAAATATTAAAATTTTTTTTACAATGAAATTACAAATTTAATTTTTTAATGATCATTTAAAGAAAGATTCTTAAAAAAATTCAGGTGTTATTAAAAACTTCTGTGAGATCTGCAATCGATATTTATGCCGCTTCGAGCATTATCGCTGGTATATGTTCCCTTCTTTTACCCATAGAAACTAAAGGCCGTGAAATGAAAGTAATTTTTAGCATCTGCTCAAACTTAGGATTTTTTTATTGGATAAGATATTTGAATTAACTATTTTAGTGCCCAGCAGGAATTGAGACAAATCACGTGGTTGTAAAAACTTTAGTTTTAAGGCCAAATTATGATGTAAAAAGCACAGTAACACGAATTTTAATACTTAATCATATTTTCAATTACTGCTTTTTATTTGAAATTTTACAAGTATATATCAACGAACAAGTATTACAGTTTATTTTAAAAAAAATCATTATTTTATGACAGGATACAGTTATGACTCGATAGAAAACATTCCATGGAGCATTTTTTTGTTGTGTTTAAACCATTAATTGAAATTAAAGACAAGTCGCTCTTTATTCTTTATAAATATTTTGCAAAAAAAACTCAGAAACTTGCCCAAGAAACAATTTGATATTATCTTTTATCTCCAATGGTCTTTAAAAATTATTATAACAATTATATTTTACAATTATTTACCATATGATTTGTGTACAACATTAGACGAGGCAATATATTTATTTATAACTTATTATTAAAATGCATAAATAGACGTTATATATATTTTATTTGCTTAATGACAATTGTTATTTATTTTAATGATATTACATTATATTAATATTTTGTGTTCTTCATGTGTTATTTATATAATAAAATTTAATTTAAATGATCGAAAAAAATTTAGTATATTTACATATATTGTTCGAATATTGTGCTTTCGAAAACTCGTATATTATCAGAATTTTGCTAATAAATTATATTTTCTATATAGATAATTTATTTACGGTTTTATTAAAGTCTATTTCATAATGTGGAAGTATTATTTTACACTTATACTCGTTCTAGATTTACTTACTTAGGAACTAATTATATCATTTTTCCAAGCATAAAATATTAATTTTATAAATCGATTGTTTTTAATGTTAGTATCTCTATATTTTTCAAGTAGTCTTAAAAAATAAGGAAGTGATAAAGAGAAAGAATAAAATTCATTTATAAAGATATATCTTTGGGGCTCTCCATTTAACCTTTCGAGATATTGTAAATGATAATACAGCATATATTAATCTTTGGATGACAAAACTTACCTTATTATCTTCTTAATTTGATAGATCCACTGTTAAAGCATTCAAAATAGCAAATTATATGATAGTTAATAGACTTTAATATAAGATTATTATATTGAATTTTTTAAAATAAATATTTAATATTATGAAATCCATTTTAGTTAATAGCCTATTTATTAAATTTTTCTAAATCAACTAAGTTTTATAAGTTATTTTCATTAATTTGAAAAGCTAGACAGAGTTTGCATTTGCCTGATCCTTCAGAAAATGATTTTAAAGAGTAGGATTTGATTATTGGATGAAATAAGTTTCCACATTGTGGTACTTTACCCTGCACTAATAGTTATCGCGAATTCGTGGCGGAGAATACAAAAATACAGCGTATTTTATATAATTCACCCCGAATTCGTGCTAACTATGAATGAGGGTTTAAATAATTTTTTTTTTAATTTTTCAATAATAAACCCATAATATAATTGGGCATGTCCTTAATAAGTAGAATCTAAATAAAGATACTAAGATACTTGTATCTTTTGCTAAATGAGAGTATCTTAAATGCAAGACACTTTATTCTTCTTCTCTATGGAGATTTTCAGGTTTACCCGGGTAGGCCAGGTTCCCCACTTATTTTTCTTTTCCATTTTTGACGGTCCTGAGCATCAATATTTGTAAGATTCATGCTTCTTATATCGGCCGCTATCACATTTGTCCACGTCATCTTGGGCCTTCCTCTAGGTCTTGATCCTCCTACTTCCATCAAGGTGCATCTCTTTACCCAGTCGTCTTTTGTCATACGTTCCACATGCCCAAACCATCATAGTCTATTTCGTCGCATTACCACTCCAATCATTTCTTTACCCAATCTTACTCGCCATTCCTACCCACACATCCAGAGTTGTATATTTGCTCAAAGATTTTCAAATACCCACACATCCAGAGTTGTACATTTGCTCAAAATAGAAAGATCAAGATCGTAAAATTTGAAGATCTTTTATTTTTAAAAAATTTTGAATCTTTGAAGATCTTTTATTAAAAAATATTTTAGATCAACCTTCTTCATATTTTATAATGTTATAGTAAATATTATTTTTATGATATTATTTTTTGAAGTAAATGGGTTAGTAAGCATGTTCGATTAAAATAGAGAAATCATTAAAGATATACCGACAATTTTCATAATCTTTATTTTTTTTTAAACTTTTTCTTGATATATATGGTTAAAAATTAATATTTAAAAGAAAATTAAATATCAATAAAGATGCAATGTACCACGTGAATATGTACCACAGGGAAGTGACAATTGTCATAATCGTTATTTTTGAACTTTTTTGAATTTTTTTAAGACAAATGGGTAAAAATAGATATTGTTAACATATTAAATTAAAATTTCAGTGACGATGTCCTACAGGAAAGTGACAATTGTCATAATCGATATTTTTGAACTTTTTTAATTTTTTTTAAAGCAAATTGGTAAAAATAGATATAGTTAACATGTTAAATTAAAACTTCAGTGAAGATGTACCACAAGAAAGTGACAAATGTCATAATCGTTAATTTTAACTTTTGAATTTTTTTAAGGCAAATGGGTAAAAATAGATATTGTTAACATATTAAATAAAAATTTCAGTGAAGATTTACCTCAGGAAAGTGACAATATTTTAAAAACAATCAAAAAAGTTCAAAAATAACGATTATGACAATTGTCACTTCCCTGTGGTACATATTCACTGAAATTTTAATTTAACATGTTAACAATTTCTATTTTTACCTATTTGCCTTAAAAAAATTCAAAAAGGTTCAATAATAACAATTATGACAATTGTCACTTTTCAGTAGTACAGCTTCACTGAAATTTTATGTTAACAATTTCTATTTTTACCTATTTGCCTTAAAAAAATTCAAAAAGGTTCAATAATAACGATTATGACAATTGTCACTTTCCTGTAGTACAGCTTCACTGCAATTTTAATTTAATATGTTAACAATATCTATATTTACCCATTTGTCTTAAAAAAGTTCAAAAATAACGATTTTGACAATTGTCACTTTCCTGTGGTACATCTTCACTGAAATTTTAATTTAACTTGTTAACAATATTTATTTTTTCCCATTTGCTTTAAAAAAATTCAAAAAAAACGATTATGGCAATTGTCACTTTTCTATGGTACATCTTCAATGAAATTTTATTTTTACATCTTAATAATATAAATTTTAACCTATTTCCGACACAATAAATCAAATAAGTAAAAAATAACGACTATGAATTGTCACTTTTCTTTGTTACATTACATCTTCATTGAAATTTTTATATAAATTTTTTTTTAAATATAAATTTTTACCCATATATGTCAAAAAAAGTTTTAAAAAAATTTATAGTAAATTATTATTTTTTTGATATTATTTTTTGAAATAAATGGGTTAGTATAAGCACATGTTAAATTAAAATAATGTACCGACAATTTTCATAATCGTTATTTTTTTAAAACTTTTTTTGGCATATATGGGTAAAAATTTATATTTAAAAATTAAATTAAAATTTCAATGAAGATGTAATATAAGTAACACAGAAAAGTGACAATTGTAATAATCGTTATTTTTTAACTTATTTGATTTATTGTGTCGTAAATAGGTTTTAATATATATTATTAAGAGGTAAAAATAAAATTTCAATGAAGATGTACCATAGAAAAGTGACAATTGTCATAATCGTTATTTTTGATTTTTTTTGGATTTTTTTAAAGCAAATGGGTAAAAATAGATATTGTTAACATGTTAGACTAAAACTTCAGTAAAGATGTACCACAGGAAAGTGACAATTGTCATAATCGTTATTTTTAAACTTTTTTGAATTTTTTTAAGGCAAATGGGTAAAAATAGAAATTGTTAACATGTTAAATTAAAATTTCAGTGAAGATGTCCCACTATAAAGTGACAATTGTCATAATCGTTATTTGAACTTTTTTGAGTTTTTTTAATATATAATATAGAAAACTGACAATTGTCATATGTAATATTTTTAAACTTTTTTAAAATTTAAACAAGGATAAAATAAAGATATTTTGAAAATTATTTATTATTTCAAAATTATTGAACATATATATTGATAACCAGGTTTGTTGTTAGAACGGTCCTACCTTATCTAATTTTTAAAAATTACCGTAACCAATCTAATTTTTTTTGATAAAAAATATTGGCTCAACATGTTTCTTAAATCTTTGATGGCTTTAGATTATAAGATATTAAAAAGTGGCGACTTCTAACTTCTATAATTTGAGCGTTATTTAAGTAAAAGTCGTGCTTTTACAATTTACAACGACATTAAATAGCAAGCCTTTGCGAGCTATAAGGCACAGGTCAAATTTGTATCACGTGTCCAGATTTTTAAAATATATTTATGGATTGTCAAATTCTTGGTTTTAACGAAATAAAACACCTGACCTAACATATTCAATTGGGTAGATCTAGTTTTTTTTTATTTTGAATATATTCTGCATCTATTATATTTTACTCTATCAATTAGCTCGCGAAAGGCAGTTTTAATTATATATATTTATTGTAAACCTACCAAAGTTCAATATTAACATCGAAATATTTCTCCTTTTAAAATTCAACCGATACCTTTTGAATTTATCATATTATATAAACCTTTATGGTGGGACCGTTCTAACAACAAACTTGGTTACAATATATATTTTCACTAATTTTAAAATAATAAATAATTTTCAAAATATCTATATTATCCCTGTTTAAATTTTAAAAAAGTTTTAAAATATTACATATGACAATTGTTAGTTTTCTATGTTATATATAAAAAAATATCAAAAATGTTCAAAAATAACGTATATGACAATTGTCACTTTCCTGTAGTACATCTTCTAAAATTTTAATATAATATGATAAAAATATATATTTTTACCCATTTGCCTTAAAAAAATTCAAAAAGTTAAAAATTAACTATTATGACAATTGTCACTTTCCTGTGGTACATTTATACTGAAATTTTAATTAAACATATTAACAATAACATCTTCACTGAAATTTTAATTAAACATGTTAACATTATCTATTTTTATCCATTTGCCTTAAAAAAATTCAAAAAAGTTTAAAAATAACGATTATGACAATTGTCACTTTCCTGTGGTACATCATCACTGAAATTTTTATTTAATATGTTAAAAAAATACTTTTTTACCCATTTGCATTAAAAAAATTCAAAAAATTTAAAAATTAACGATTATGACAATTGTCACATTCTATGGTACATCTTCATTGAAATTTTAAATTAACATGTTAACAATTTCTATTTTTACTCATTTGCCTTAAAAAAATTCAAAAAGTTTCAATAATAACTATTATGACAATTGTCACTTTCCTGTAGCACATCTTCACTGATTTAATTTAATATGTTAACAATATCTATTTTTACCCATTTGTCTTAAAAAAGTTCAAAAATAACGATTATGTCAATTGTCACTTTCCTGTGGTATATCTTCACTGAAATTTTAATTTAATATATTAACAATATCTTTTTTTACCCATTTGCTTTAAAAAAATTCAAAAAAGTTTAAAAATAACGATTATGACAATTGTCTCTTTTCTGTGTTACATTACATCCTCATTGACATTTTAATATAAATTTTTTTTTAAATAAAAAATTTTTTAAAAATAAAAGATCTTCAAATTTTACGAATTTTTATTTTGAGCAAATGTACAACTCTGCTTTGCATACATCCATCTAAACATCCTCATCTCTGTTCCTTAATCTGGCTACGTGAGCCAATTTTATTGCCCACGTTTCGCCGAAACTAAACAACTCCTCACACAGCTTATGTAAACTTTACTTAAACTTCAGAGAATTTTTTATTAGTTAGAATAGATGTCTGAACTTCTTCCATACTTGTCGGACCCTTGCAACAAGAGCAGAATCTGCACCACCATCTGCGTTTAGCATATCACCCAAATAACAAAACTTATCCACTTTTCCTAGGGTTAATCCATTACCAATATCCAGGCCATCATTTTCTACGTTATCATTATTATGTACCCCTTTTATGCACCTTTTACAAATAAAGGTTATTCTTGCTAACATCAAACTTTCTTTTCCCGCTACATCTATTACGTACCCATTTCTGGCATCTCTGCATTGGATTGAATTTCTAGCAACTTTTTCCCATATACACCACAAGGCCACTTACCGGATTCCTCCATCTTTCAATTTTCCCCACCAATCGTCACCTTTGTTTTTGTCTTTGCTGTATATGTATTCATTTTCATGCCCTTTGTTTCCATAACTAAATTTATCCCTCAATTCTTCCTCACTGTTTGCCATTAATACAAGGTCATCTGCATATAATAACTCCCAGGGAAGTCCTTCACGCATTTCTCTAGTCACCACATCCATTACTAAGATAAATAATAATGAACTCAGCACGGATCCTTGATGAAGTCCTACCTTCATCTCAAAGCTTTCACTATCACCATAATCCGTCGGTACTGCTGTTTGTGCTCCCATACGCCATCACTGCGATAACCAAATTCCTTCACACCTGATTTTCTCAAGGCCCATCTAGTAATCTCGCGTAGCACCCATTCAAATGTTCTCCAAATCAACAAACGCATATTACAGTTTCATTTCCTTCGCAAGATATTTCTCCTCTATTTGTCTCACCACAAAAATTGCATCTGTTGCGCCTTTCCCCGATGTAAAACCAAACTGTATTTTTTCAATTTTAGTTTGTTCCCTTATCGGCTTCTTTAACACCCTCTCAAATATTTTCATTGCATGTTCCAAGAGTTTGATATCTCTGTAAGACCCGCAATCTAAAGGTACACCTTTCCACTTGTATACTTTTATTTCTTCGCCAGTCCTCGGGAATAGTTCCTTCTGTGACAGTTTGATTGGCTAAATTCATTAATCATTCAATTCCTAAATCATCAGAAATATCTCTGATACCACACCCGATGCCTTCCCTTTTTTCATCTTTTCACTGCTCTCTTTATTTCATCCTTGCCAAATTTACACACTGGACCTTTTACCTTTGCAAAACTAACATTATTATCCCATTCATTTTCTTCGTTCCAAAGTCTTTCTATGTAGATCTTCCAGGTATTCTTATTACCACTACTATCAATCACCATTTTTCCTTCCATATTTTTCAAACCTTAACACCTACCACATCCTGCCTCTTTATTGCCATCTGCTTTGCCATTCGAACCTCATTTCCCATTCCTTCATCGCATTTCATTTCTTTAGCAAACTCCTGCCTTTATATCTTCTTGCGCCTTGGCTATTAATTTCTTAGCATTTTTTTCGCCATTTTGTAAATATCTTTATCACTATTTTCTTTACTATTATACCATTTTTTGAAGCATCTCCGTTTCTCATCTACAACTTTCGCTTCCACCGGGTTCCAAATAATCCACTGCACTTTTGGTACTACCCGACTTATAAGTCACCAGCTTCTGTTATTCTTTCTTATACATTGTATTACAGAATCATATTCATAGCATCACTAAAATCTAAAATCCTTCCATCCAGATTTCTCATACCGTAACTGAACCCTCCATACTCCTTCAAAACTATCACTACTTGCTCCCACATGTCCATTAGATCACCAGCCAGGATAATCCCCTCTTCATTTGCCAGTCTTTATGTCACCCCCAATAGACTGTCCCAAAATATATCTTTCTCTTTTTCACTTTTTCCAACCTGAGGATCATATGCCGAGATAATATTATATAGCTTTCTACCAAAAACCATCTTAATAACCATTATTTGGTTATATAGCCTTCTCACTTCGATAAATTTGTCTACCATTTTCTCCGCAACCAATACCCCACCTCCAGCCTTACTCGATCCCCCTTAAACTGGTTTCTCCACTTATTATCAGATCGTTTATGGCTGTCATAAGTTCCATTTTCATGAATCGTAGTTCCACCGGTTTTCCATCCTTCTTTTTGTCCTAGATGGATGAGGAAGCCCACGGGGTACTTAGGGCTCTACCCCGTCCATGCTTTGTTGTATCCATAGGGAAATTTTGTAGCAAGGTTTTTACAATCGGAGACCGTTCCTGGCATCAACCCCTTTAAGTGATTTTTACACCCCGTCGAATGATCATGTTCTAGACCCAGATCACAGGGAACCTTTTAGGTCTCCATTGCCCGCCTAAAGACGTTGCCACTCCCTCGCCACGATGACCCTGAAGGTAAATAAAATGGCATTTTATATAATTTATTTCAAGAACATAAAATAAGTATATAATCAAGAAAAAGATTAATCAATCGAAATTTTTAAATTTTGAGAACCATAAAAAGAAGCCGACTATTATAGACAAAATGAAAACCAAGACATCACACTTTAAAGCAAGCTTCTAGAAACACTAATTCTGAAACTTATCAAACCATTAAGTAGTGTTTTATTAGTGCATTTTATTGCCTTATTCTGTTTATTAGATTTATTAAAGGGTAATAAATTATTGGTAAAATAAAAAAAATTAGCATTATATCAGAACGAAGAGAATAGTTGTACTTAGAGATCTGCATCTGGTCTAAATATCATTAGGCCTGGCCAGAAATTGAAATTTTTTTTGTCATTAGCCTAGGTTCGCCTCAAAACAGTATATTCGAACCCCGAGAAGGGGGGTCGGGGTTTGCTTTAATACTTAGTGTCATCAATTCTTCATCAATTTCCCAGTCACAAAAAGTAACCGAATTACAGGCAAATAAACAGTATGGCAAAACTTCTGGAGCATTATCTAAAATCTATATTAAAAATTATTGCGCATTTAGTATTTCAGGCCGGTTGGAAGATATTTTAAAGAAAACCGCATTAAAAATTTTTTTTATAAAGCCTTAATAGTACTTCTAATTTATCAAAATAAATAAAAATTTGTTTAAACAAAGTCTTATATGTTGGATTTTCAATTACGTAAATAATGATTCATATATTGGTAAGATGAAGATAATTCTCCGGAAAAAAGTCCCATTTCTGAAGAGGGTAGCTTTAAAATTTTTTAAAAGTGATTATTAAGAGAATTATCTTCCATGATTATTTATATTAATATTAGGGTTTCCCAACCGAAAATGGAAAGGTCCTATCAAAGAAAGAATAGTATCAATCAAAAAATGAGAAGTCTGACAAAAAAGGAAAGGGTCCGATAAAAAGAAAAGTAACAATGGCTTAAAAAAAGGTCCCATCAAAAAAGATAAAATTGTCAATCAAAATAGGAAAAGTACCAAAGTCTTAGGAAAAGGTCCCATCAAAAAAGGAAAAATTGTCAATCAAAATAGGAAAAGTACCAAAGGCTTAGGAAAAGGTCCCATCAAAAAAGGAAATTCATCATTTTATTTAATTTCTCTTGCATTTATATAACCCTGAATATTTTATTTTTAATTTTTTGCGATCTATTTGAGTCATATTCAATCTATTTTTCTATTTTCTAAAAAAAATCCTCTATTCGTTATTTTTTCTGTCATTTTTCTTCCATTCTCTTTTTTTGTCATTTTCCTTTTTCATCCTATGTAACAATTTTTTTAAACTTTATCATTTTTTTATCCATATATTTTATAGGGTTTCTCCTCCAAAATAGAAAAATCTCTATCAAAAAAGAAAAAGTGTCAATCATATAAATGAAAAGGTTTAATCAAAAAAGGAAAAGTCCCATAGGCTTTGGAAAAGTACTTATCAAAAAAGGAAAAAGTCTTATCTTAAAAATGAAAAAATCCGATCAAAAAAGGAAAATTTCTATTCAAAAAATGTAATTCATTATTTTTTTAAATAATTTTTTTTGGTCATTTTTATAACCCTGAAAAATGATTTTTATTTAGTGTTGCAAACGAACGCGTTCATGAACGAAGTTCGTTTTTTTGAAAAAAATGATAAACGGCGTTCCTTTTATTTTTGACGAACTTTGAACGTGAACGCGTTCCTTTTTTGACGAATGCGTTCGAATTTAACGTTTGTTCAATTTTAAAAACACTTTTTATTTTTATTTATTTGAAAAATTTAATATTAATCTGAATTTTTTAAGAAAAAAGTCTCATATTTTATAATCAGTTTTCATTTTTCACATTTCAATTTTTTGACACGCCATTATTATAGTTCATTAATTTGAATATTATTGTTTATATTTTAATTTAATAGATTAGCATAAGAATGGATATTAGTATTTCATCATCATCTGATTCTGAAAATTCAAAATCAGATGAATTAACATTACCATAGCCCTTTGACCCCAACAATAACGATAATAATTTTAAAATTAAAAAATATTAGTGGCCTAAAATATAGTCAACTATTAATAGACGCAGTATTAAATGGGATTAATAAAAGGTATTAAACCTATCACTCTCAAATTAATTACATATATTTTATCTTTTTAAAGATTTGAACACATATATGAAGATCAATATGTTCTTTCTGCAATTATACATCCAGTATTCGAACTTCAAGAAAAACAAGTGTTATTAAAAATTAATACGAAAAAATTTTTGTAAATAAAAATTAATACGAAAAAATTTTTGTAAATAAAAATTTCTTTATATTATCAAAATACAACTATTATTTTTTAACGTGGCTAATATATTGTGTTAAAAAATATAAGACATTTATTTATATTAAATTAAATTATAAAATCCTTTTTTTTTGAAAGTGAACGTGACACTTTCGATTTTTCTCTATGAACGTTGAACGCGAACGCGTTCGATTTTTTAGAAGTGTTTACAGCATATTTTTATTAAATTTTTGGTTATTTTTAATTTTCTTTCTTATTTTATTTCTAACTTTTTTCGATTTCTTTAAAACTTTTTTGATATCTATTTTCTAATATTTTCTTAAATTTTTCTTTTCATTTTTCATCACTCTTTTTTTGTCTTTTTAAAGATAATTTCTTTATTTTCCCTGTCAGATTTCTTCAATTCTTTGTATATCATTTTTAACCATTCTTATTTTTCTTTTTCATCCTACATAAGACTTTTTATCATTTTTCATTCGGATTGCACCATATCCATAAATATTTTTATATGAAATGATTAAAGAGAGATTTGATGTAGAAATATCATAAAATAAGGTGTCAAGGTTACTATTTAAATTTAGATATAGTTTTAGAACTACGTTCAAATAGTGAATATTCCACATCAAATATCGAGATTCGTAAAAAATACACAATCTGGTTTGTGGATAAAGCCTATTTAAAAGAAATATTTATTTTATCGATCAGAGCAGGTTTTTAATATCAATGAGATATATAGATGTTCACTAATAAATATACATGTGCGCCGTCGGTGATTTTTTGACGACGCTACTCGACTAATTACAATATTAAACTTGTTAATTTTCAATTAATAAATGATTATATTAATTTAATTATGGTTATAAAATAATTTATTAATAAAAATCAATTAAGCTTCAACTGTTAATGCTAAATTATTTAGGCATTATGAGTGATATTGATATTTTATTGCATGCTGATATAATGAGTATAATTTATATGTATTAATCTAATCTAATAAATA